GCGACATCTGAAGCCAAGAACGAGCCGGGAAAGGGATATTCTAACCATTTTCTAGGTCGCATATTCCCATAGTCCATAGCTGGCCGCAGGTGGCACAGGATATTAACACTTTTTTAGGATCCATTGTGTTTATTTACTAACCTAGAAACTGCAAAGTTTAAGCATAAAAAGCAGAATTGGAAAAATCCTTCAACTCCACTATTTTTGCATCTAAATTGGGACAACATTGCCGTTCTGTTCGGAATTCTTCCAAATTCCTTTTGAAGTGAATACACCCCAACAGTATCTATTGATTTACGTTCAGTTTTAATTTACATATAAAAAACATGATGCAAAAACAAACCTAAAATGAATCCGCAATACGGTGGGACAGAAAGTGTAAATAATCCAACTGTGATAAATCGTAACTTAAAGCGACAATGTCCGTAAAACCTTGGGGATTATTTACTAAACAGCTATCTGACAAGATCTTGCTACTGTTCTACCACCTGCTATTATGGGCTGGATTTTAACGCTGTGCTGATAACTCACCGTAAATTAAATAAATTATAACTAATGTTAAAGAGACATCGTTATCCCAGCTAAGGCCTCATCAAGGGATGGACATCCATCTGAGCTGCTCAAACCTCTGGTTTACAGGTTTAATTCCCATCAACTCATGCTCTCGGCTTCCTGGGACAATAATATTACAGAAATTGAGTTAGGTAATTGTAATCACTAAATCCTTTTACAATACTCAGATTATTATTGGTTTTCTGGAATATTTAATCTGGATCTAGATATCATTTTGGAAATGATACATTAAGATGTATCACTGACTGGGCTTTCCGAATACATAAAACATTTGTATTTATTTATTAATTTGGTGATTTGTTTATTAATGAGGGCAGGTTAATTAGGGAATAAACCTGGTGTGTTCATGTTCCAGAGTAAATAGAGTTTTTATAGCCGATATCCGATTTAATGTGATGCAAACAATCTTCCAGGTGACAGTGCCCCCGTCTGGTCACACAGGAATTAGCATGTCCGTACCGAGTGTCAATTGCAAGTTCACCAAGATGGCATTCTGTGAACCATTGCTGGTGTTGTAACAATGACATTTAATTAAAGGGTCCAGTTTCACAGAGAATGTTGTGATCTTTTTAGGGGAACACAATTGAATCTGAACATTTATCAGAACTGACGGAGGAAGAATATGAAGTTCATTACATCAAACAGCATAACCTCAAGGGATTCATGTGGTTGGATGCCAAATATTTAAACCCGTTCTTCACAAGGAGACTGACGCAAGAGGTAAGCCACAAACCAAGCCCCTCCGTAGCATAACAAGAGAAATATTAAACATATTACACTGATTTTTCAAAATGTCAGTCACAACTCATTAACGTCACTTTGCCTCCTTTACATAAATCCGTGTTAAACTGTATTCTGAACCGACAAATCATATTTTCATTTTACTAATCTAGAACGAAGGAAGCTGAATCCACTTTAACACAGTATAAGGTATTTAGCGTGGAGGCAGCCATCTTAGAAATGTATTTACACGTTATTTAATCCCATACAATAATGTGACTGCATGAGGTTTATTAACAAAACAGTTTAATGGACGCCAATAAACGATTTGATAAGATGATAGAGGCTAAAGCAGCCTAGCTGTAAAAAAAGACCATATCAGAACTATTTACATTTTTCTAGAAGCCGATTTAGATGCAATATTAACTCGTTGTACGATATATGCATATTTTGTAATATTTATTAATGTTTATAAAAAGGACATTTAGGATTCTTTCATAGATGTTTGTTGCTTTTATTATAGAACTATCCATGTTTTTAGTTGTCATTTTTTCCTATAAAATGATGAGCTCCATTGTTTCACACCCATTTTGTCAGCCCTCTGGTTCCACTTTTATTTATTTTCTTGAAGAGAGACTTAATTTTAACCTTAACAGTGTTCAATGTTCGTTTTGTCGTTTAGCAATTTTAGTCGACGAAACTTTTTGAGATTTAGTCAACTAAAACTAAAACAATTCAGATGACTGAAATACGGCTAAAACTAAAATGGCATTTTATTTAAAAGAGTACGACTAAAACTAAAATGAAATTAATTTGACGACAAAAGTAACACTGCTTAACATGCTTGTTGGGGATTTATGTAAATAAATGAGACATAAAAGCGAGCCATTTTAGCCAATGTGCGGTATAAGTCAGGATTCCCACCCAAGTGAATGCTTCTGCTTCTAATTTAGGATCTTCACCATGGCCGGATACAGATGAAAAGCCTGACCAACAAATGGTACGAGGAGGTGCGTCAGGGACCTTCTGGATCTGAGGATGATGAGCTGGAGCTGCTACAGCGATAGATTTAAGCACAGGCGTTCTAGACTCTGCACGTATTTCTGGGCTATATTTCCCTTCAGGCTGGCAGAGCATCATGGGAAATGTGGTCCACAAACCTCTGCACAGCCAATGTTCGGTCTCACTGGACGTCACTCTGCCATTGATAAAGTTGTCCTCTTATGAGGTGGTAAGGACAGAGCATTCAGCTGAACCTTCAGTCCCGTCATCACATGTTTTTCTTTCACTCACTGCAAGTCGACAGACCTGTCTGACCCACTGGGATTTTCTAATGTAGCTCTATTGCCTCATTGTCAGAGGTCGACACAGGACCTTTGTAGATGGTGTGATTGAGTAAGTTTTGTGTGTTTGTGTGAGATTATGTATGCGTACACAGATTGGAAAATGAGTTTTTTAATGTATGATTATTTTAGACTTTATTTTACTTCTGTTACAATGTTTGTTTCATTTTTTTTGTTTTTAATTGATGTTTGCTAACAAACACGACAGGGAGGGGCGTGCTGCTTAGATGCCCCAAAATAGCAACAGGTGGACAAGCGCTAAACCAAATTAGATTATTTAATTTAAAGGAAACTATTGTTTCCTATTACTTATTTCTAAAAAAAAAATCTTAGAAAAGAGAAAATGGATGATTCTCGTTGCCCTTTTTATTACAAAATAAAAATAGCATTTATAAGAAGGTTAAAGTGACTGAAGGGTTACTCCAACAAAAAAATAAATGAAAGGCCAAGTTCTCTGTGCAGCCTGAACCTCCTCTGATATCTGTTCCCCTCTTTGCAAGTGAGGTATCGAAAGCTTGGTTGAGGGGAGAACTCGGCCGGCACATGGGGAGGTTATACATTGTGCAAGAAAGCTATTCTGCATTTCTGTATTAAAACGGGCAGCATTTATATGAAAATTGTTGGAGATTTTAGCGTTGTGTTGGCTTAGCTTATAACGATGTAACATTACCAGATGTGACCGACCGTAACGGCAAGTGAATCGTTTTATTAAGGAGTTCCCAATATGTACATATGTACGTTAGCGAATGAATCACACTGCTCAGAAAGTTTCTGCCAATAACGTCACTCTGCGCACTTTACAGGTAGACTTTGAATGTTTCTGTAGGATTTTATAAACTTACCATGTGGAGAGTAATTGTATTTTATTTTAAACAAATGAAACACTGAATTCTATAAAAATGGTGATCTTAGCAGGCTCTTCCAGGAGTTAATGCTAAGTGTGAATTATATTAGTGTGAATGTTAATATTCTGTGATTCTGTGTATGTTAAAGGGACACTAGAGTCACCCAGACCACTTCAGCTCAATGAAGTGGTCTGGGTGCCAGGTCCTTCAGGTTTTAACCCTTCAGATGCAAACATAGCAGTTTCAGAGAAACTGCTATGTTTACATTTGGGGTTAAGCCAGCCTCTAGTGGCTGTCTTCCGGACACTAGTGGCTGTCTTCTTATGGACACTTTGATTGCACGCGCGGCACTTGCCGCGCATGCGCATTCGGCTCCACTGATGTCGGCCGGGGGGAGGAGAGGTCATCAGCGCCAAGGAAGCCTGGCGCTGGATTAAAGTAAGGAACTGAAGGGGTTTAAACCCCTTCAGCGCCACAGGAGGGGGACCCTGAGGGTGGGGGCACCCTCAGGGCACTATAGTGTCAAGAAAACCTCTTTGTATTCCTGACACTATAGTGATCCTTTAAGCTTATACACGGGTAAGACGTGTATCATGGGTCCTGCCTTTTACCTTGTGACATGAATTAGGGTGTAAGGAGTCAGGCGACTCTCAGTCTCTCCCACCAAACTGGCAGTATGTGGGTAGACCTCGACATACCTGAGAAGCTGGCAGGTTTGCCCAGAAACACAGTTTGACTCCCTATTTTTGGGTTTCTCTGGCTGTGGAGTGTTGTGTAGTCATCATTTACCATAACCACACCTGCTTTTAGACCAGCCCCCCCATTGTTTCTCCTATAGATCACGAGCCATGTTTCTAATATGTAATCTGTATATTTTGTTGAATTCTCCCCATGGTTCTGCACAAAATGGAAATCCGGCCACGCCACATTAAAGGTAAACATGCACCTCTTAATAATTTGTTTACTGGGAATCTACTGGATTGGTGGCAATCGATATGAAGATTTTTTGTTTATTATGGTATCTGGATTATGTAAATTATTGTATTTTTGTTGTTAAGATATCACTATTTAAGGATTTAAGCACTGGGTAATGTGTTCCATCCTTTCTGTCTGTCTTTTGAGAATCACATTTATGTAAATTAATGTTAAATTATTTCCAATGACAATTTGCGCCATTGTAGTGACATCCCGAGCTGTCACTGGTTGTATTAGAAGAAATCTTTCTATGACACAACAAGTATTATGCAAAATACTACCTAAAGGGGACCTGGCATCTTCAAGACGTTTCGCCCATTAAAGATAATTTTACAATTGAATTATACGGTGTGTTTTTATTTCTGAAATTGCATTGTCCATTTAGAGATGCTCAATTTATTAATTAAAAAACATTCTACCCTGCATTGCTCGTAACTGCCTTTCATAGGGAGGAATTAAATTCACAGATCACAATGGCTGCCACTATACGTAACAGGACCACATTATAATAATATTCATTTATAAGATATAAGGACATTAACCCCTTAAAAACAAGCGTCATCCTGGGATAAATCCTGGAGCAGATGGGGGTCATTGTCATATAGCAGCATTTTTATACACATTGGAAGAAATGTATTCATTTTGTACTCTGCATTTTTCAAGTTCTTGTGAATTCTTATTTCTGTTAATGTTTTGCAAAATCCAACTAAACACCTGATATATGGGACAGCCAACAGCTAGGTGTTAATTCAACTGCTCTGCAACTATGACTTAGAGGTGGCGAAGCATCCTGGGTTTTGGAGATACTAGCTAGCCAGATTGGCAGAGTTTACTTCATTGTGCAGCAAATTACATTTCATTATGGTCCCCGGGCAACATGTATCCACAAAGAAGGAAGGGAATTGTGAAAATGAATTACCATATGAGACACGTCCATATCGTAATGAGTTTGTTAGAAATTCCAAGAAGTAATTTTAATAAAACGTCCTTCTTTCCTTGCAGCTGGCTGTGTAGTCCGCTTATCATTAAAATCTGATGTAGGCGCACAGTATGACGCACAGTATCATTCTTGGAGATAACTTGGAAGATTCTAAGAACTTGAACATCAAATAGAGCAGAGATTCCAATGTCACACGTGTTATGGGTTTGGTTCCATATGGCAAATGTGACGTCCCATGTGTTGAGCAGAGATGTAGATAGAAAAATCTAAACAAGGGCGAGGGAACATCTTAATGGCATCCGGAACGCAGAAAATGCTAAACTAGTAGCAAAACGCTGTCTGCAGCATTAATCGTGTTGGAAACAAATTCAGTGTGTTGAAAAGCGTTTTCCAATGCCATTGATAGTTTTTGTGCCCTTTGTTCGCCAGAATAGGTTTTCCCAAATCATTTGCATTGATTCCTGAGCAAGCTGACGAAATTCTGCTGACTGACTTGAATTTTCACGCCGTACACAAGTCTACTTTGAATTATTGACAATTCTCACTTTAGTAAATAACTCTGCAAGTCTAATTGCGAACTTTTCTGGCTTTTTGGAATTGCGGCAATGAAAATGATTAGTAAAAAGGTCTGATATCTCAAAGAAATATCTAGACTAGAAAGAGAGAATAAGACAAATAAGGAAAGATAGCTCTACAACTGGAAAGTAAAGGATCACCGAACCTTAAAGCTGCACTGTCATGGCTGAATCCAGGTTTTTTTTTTTTTTTAAAACCCCCTCCCAACTCCACTAAATCTAATTGCACCCTAGTCACCCCCAAATGCCCCTAAGCCCCCCATATTACCTATTTTTTAATCTTTATTTTGTGCCCGGACCTAGGTCCTGGGCGCCGCCATCTTTGTGTGGGTAGATGAAGTCACTGTGGCCCACACTAGATAGTGCTGTGAAATTCCCGCGCATGCCCAATAAAACATGTGGGCATTTGCTACGGGAATTTCGTCCATTCATTCGTCAGAAAGATGAAGGAAAGAATAGAAATTTTAGACAAACACCGAATATAGGGAGTTATCTACTAAGCGGCTGCAAGATGCAGCACGGATCGGATCGGGGTCCTGCCCTACTTCTTCAGAGACTGGATGAGTTATAGAGCTATAGGAGGTAAATAAAGGTATATTAACGGTCATTGGTGTCACCAACCCTGTGCAGGGAGAGTGACACTTGTGCTATATGCTGTGCACTTGCTGAATATTCTATTGGACTTGTTATATAAGAATTATTTAGCTCGATATCCACTGTATTTCATATATATTTATCAACTAAGGTTTTATAGCGCCTGGATATCTTCACTATATTGTATAGTGTCTTTCCTAATAAAATGATACGTTTACAGCTTGTTATATTTACTCTGGTATTAAACATTTGGACTATGTTTTAACATTTATTTGCTATTGTCTATATATTTATGATGCAATTTGTAATATGAGCAAAGACTTTAAAATCGTATAACTCAGATTTAGGAAAAGGATGTTATGTGACAAATAATCCAGTTAAGAAACTTTAGCAAGTTTTCGAAGGTAAGATTAAAATATTTTATTGAAAACGTCCTACTTTCTTTTTTTTTTTTTAAATGCATTTTTTATTGTGTGTTTGAAAGATACATTAATACAAGATGGCGCCAAACGACTTTGATAAATACGCAATAATAATCAGACTTTCTATTTTAAATTGATTTTTAAAACTAGTCATGTCCTGTTTTTTATGAACAGAAAACAGTTTATATTATAAATATAATTTATCCATTTTTGTCTTAGTAAACTGGAATTATAAGGAAACTACTGCCAAAATATTATTTATTTAACCTTAACCCACGGGAAAACGTACATTATGTGATCACAAGTTAAACCATGTTATTTCCTGATCTAATCTGTGGAGAACATTCTTTATTACTAACACATCTCTAACCCGGGCTGTATGAAGCTATGGTACGGCCAATGTCCGTATAGGTCTGGTGAGATAACTCGGTGGATAGAGATCTGGTTGTTACACATTCCTCACCCTTTCATCCTTCCCGGGTTGTTGAAATGAGTAACGTTAAGTTGGCTAATGATTATATCTAAACCCCAGCATGAATGTCAAGCTCAATGTGTATCTCCTAGTAGTTTATTACTGTGTTATATTTTGCATTGTTGATTATAACCTCTTTAATCACTTGCTGTTTTTAATCCTATAATGCAGTTCTTCATTATAACTTTATTACATGGGGTTAATAATTCTGCAATTTGGTTGTTTTTTTTTTTTCAATTCGCTACAATTCATTGTTTACTAATACTCTTGATAATGTATGGGCTGCATGTATACCTGACGGAAAATAAACCGTGACAGCTTCACGTTAAAGCCCAGACACTGTACTATACGTATTGTCGCCTAGCGTACTTGCAATTATATTTTGACTTTAATTTGTACCTCAAACTTCTAGTCATAGATGGTAAGTAGGGCTCCATCCAAAAAAAAAAAACACACCATATGTGCACAGACCCATTCTTTGCAATCAATAAAACCTTCCATGTGATTATATACAAGGGTTTAACAAACACCAGCTTGCAATATTTATTCCAAAATGGCTGTTTTTGCGACAGCCTAGAAGTAAGGGACTAGGCAGGTTTCATTTAAGACTTTTCCTGTTTACATTTAACGTTTTTATTATTAATGGGCTTTGTATTAGATTAGGTGACTTTTAAAATAGCATTAAAGGACAACTCTCACCAAGAATAAATGTTAATATAGCAATGACCGCGTGCGTATTAGACCTATTCAATGCTTTCCTATGGGGATTGCGGCGACGCTGGAGGTCTCATGCACAGGATGTCTGGTAGACAGCCACTAGAGGAGGACTTAGACCTAGAAAAACTGCAATATTTACACTTGAATGGTGAAGGGTAATGGGAGTTGGCTCCCAGACCACTCCAATGGGCTGAAGTGGTCTGGGTGCCTACAGTGTCCCTTTAAGTTGAGCACCTCACTCAGCTGTCATACCTTATCTGCACGGATAGAAATAAAATGTCTTAGAAATAAATGCCATTGACTTTACCTGCAAGTTAGCAAGTGATGATGTCCCTTTATGTCACCAGTCGCAGCTCTTTGGGGACATCCCATGGACAAAGCGAGCACTTCACTTTCATCGTCGGTCAATTAAATGTGAAATCAAAGTTAATTTAAAGTTTGAAGATAAAATATATGAACTTAAAATATAGTTCGCTTGTAGATTTTTTTTTAACTTGTCTATTTTTGGCTAAAATTCACTTAAAATTAATATTGAAATCCCAATAATTGACTTTTTAACGAATTTCGCATTGTAGGCCCAGTAGCAAAATGAAACATTCTCTGTCGGCCATGTTTTCAGTTCAACTAGTTTGGACTAGAATTTGAAACTTAATTTTAATTCACTTTGAATTCCAATCAATGACCTTTTACGGAGTTATCCACTAATTTGAATTATATCAAATTAAAATCTCAATGACAACATTTAGACTAAAACAGATGATTTTAACAAATCTCCAACTTCGCTATTGCTGTAGCCCCAGCCTTACTATATTAGTCAAAAATGTTGGTATTCAGATTTCAATGTTCTGCTATTTGGAATTTACTGAATATCTTGTTTTTAGTTGATTTTGATGACATTAAGTGACACTTACCTTGTTGTGTTATGTACTGATGTTAAATTACATACAAAAACCTCTCCAGTTCTCTGACTCAGTACCTGCACCAAGATCACTTCCATGCTGCTAGAGGAGCCATAGCCCTCCTGAGACCAATCACTCTCCATCCCTAAATATTCCTACTTTGACTGCCACTGTAGAGTACAGTACCGGTTGACCAGCTTGACCTCCTCCCGGAACTGCATTACAAAATTCAGGCACCCATTCCTCCTGGGGTACTCTACCAGTAATGGAAGCCTCAGCTCCCACTGCACCTTGGCTCATTGCCTTGTAGTTGTGAGATATCTTTTGCAGTTTATCCTCTTAAACTGGAGCATTCTCTCCCAGAGCACCAAGTGGACCTGATATCTCATCTCCAAGGTATCCTCCTCTGAAACCAGTCTGTTGGTTAAGTGCCTTCCACAGTCGACTTTGTAATTCAGTTGCTATGGCTGCACTTTCTCTGCTGGTATGTGTGGCCCGAACAGGGATAGTCTCCATAGCACATCTTTCAGGAACTCTTGACTCTTCAGCCTCTTCTGACAAGAAATTGCCGGTCCAGTGGCTGTGCATCAGATCTCCAAAGGTGTTCCAGAGGAATCCTGTCAGGAGGAAGTCGATCCTACCACTGCCACTAGATATAACGGAGCTCCCGTATCCCGGACGAATACCTCCGCTAAGTTAGCTTCCTTGCTGCCAAACTGGAACATTTCTGACCCAGTCGCCGAGCCTGGGGTCTCTCCAGAGTTCTTTCACCCGACCAGGCTGCAGCTCTCTCCTTCCAGGCAGGTCTCATCCCCTTTGCTTATTCCTCTGCAGCTTTCCTTCCAGGCAGGAGTCAACTCCTTTGCCTGTAAGATGATTAGATCCTGGTGATGCTGACTACCCTCACACGTTCTATTTAATATTATAAGATTTGGACATTCTAGTCGGTTCAAACTGCAATTTGTCCAAGTTTGGGAAAATCAGATGATCGGACATATTCCCAAACTCCGAGGCTAAATGTACCCGAATCGTGGACTAACAGAAATGGGCAACGTCGAACACTAGAAATAAGTATCAGAAAACGTGGCTTCTATTAAATTGCCTGAAAGAATTTTATTAATATACTTTAACTACAATACTAAATTCAAAACTATAACAATGATTTAATTAGTAGTGTGACAATAGTTAGTGAATTAGACTCTTTTAATAGACGTTAGTGAATAGATACTGTGTTACACACAATCCAGTCAGACTCCCAAATGATAAACATGTTCTATGAATTTTTACAGTCCCAAAGGCTGAGTCTAGTTAAATTTGAGTCTAATAGGATTACTAACTCTAATATTCTATATTGAAATACTGCACCTCCCTCTGATTATAAATCAAACAGGATGGCAGTTAGGAATGTTGGCAGCAGTTACATATTAAATTGATCAAAGATCACATTTGCGGCTATTTAAAGGGATACTATAGTGCTAGGAGTACAAATCTTAACCGTATTCACCCAATTCCAGTGCCGATCTCCCTCGGTGCTGGGTCGGCAGTCCGCCTGCTACATCATTCGACAGGGGGCAACTAATGCGCGTGTGCGACGAGTGCTGTTAGCACATTAGGCTATCCTTATAGGAAAACATTGCTGCAATGCTTTTATATGGTGATTTTACTAGATAATCCGATTTGACGATCTCAGCCAATCCAATGCTTTCCCATAGGAAAGCACTAGGAGGCTATTGCACATGCGCAGCAAAATGCCACGCTGCGCCAATCAGCATCTCCTCACATAGATGCATTGCATCAATACCTCTCTATGGAAACATTTAGCATCTCCAGAGAGCATCTGACAATCTGACCCCCAGTGGCCGCTGAGTGACCGCACCGAGAGGTGTTACTAGGCAGTAATGTAAACACCGACTTTTCTCTGAATAGGCAGTGTTTATAGCCTGTCCTTGCAGGCTTTTTAATGTAGACACAAGAACAACTACATTAAGCTGTAGTTGTTCTAGTGACTATAGTCTCCCTCTAAGGTGGTGATAGTAGTACTGGAAGAACTTGCTAAGTAAACTGTTAGTTCGGCTACGAAAAGAGACACTATAGTCACCAAAACAACTTTAGCATACTAAAGCAGTTTAAGTGCATAAATAATGTGCCTGCAGTCACATTGCTCAATTATCTGCCATTTAGGAGTTAAATCACGTTGTTAATGCAGCCCTAGTCACACCTACCAGCATGTGACTTAAACAGCCTTCCTTAGCACTTCCTGTAAAGTGAGATCTAATGTTTAACCTTTGGTTATTGCGCAGTCTGTTCAATTTAGAATTTCTTATCTCCAGAGCCTTCTAGAACCTGTAGGAGCCTCCTGATTAAGGTAAAATTGACAGTTCATAAGAACTTCTAAAGTAAGTCAACATCTAAAAATCAAACTATTTATTTTTTCATACAAACTGTGTGACTCACAGCCACAGGAGGT